TTTCAAAAAATTGAAGTTTAAAATTTTTTTTAAAGAAAACAGAGGTTTTTTTTTTTACAAAAAAAAAAGTCCGTGTTTTTAGGGGCCACTTGCCAACTATTATCATGCTTATATAAATGCAAAAGAAAAATAAAATTTATTTCACCAAAGGTCTTTTCATCATTAAGGGGCCGTTTGAGTAGCTAGAAATCTATTACGTGACAATAGATTACAAGTAAATATTACATTTTCCACTGTTTGGGTACACTTAATGCTAAAAAAATAGAAATAGATTACACAATATTTCTCCAAAAATCAAGAAATCTATTACGCGTGGTGATGGGTAAAAAACTTATTACAAGCGTGACGTGTAATTTTGAGAAATCTTTCGCGTGCATTTTTGTCTAGTCTATCCCTGATTAAAAAATTCTTCTAAGTCTCTTTTTATAATAATTAGGTGATCCCTTTCTTTTTAAGTTCGTCCCCTTATCTGAAGGCATCAGCTGTCATATAAAAATAAAAATAATAAAAATATAAATTAGTAATCAATGATAAATTACACAAGACAATCATACTAAAAAATTTCACATAACATAATGTGATCCCTCCTTTTTTAAGCTTGTCCCTGAAGCCATCAATGTCATATAAAAACAAAAATAGTAAAAATAAAATCAATAATCAATGATAAATTACACAATACAATCATAATAAAAAAGTTTACACAATATAATCCTCATAAGAGATTACTAAAATCTCAATTGAAATAACATACCTCTTTAGTCTCTTCCAATACCTCAAAAATTTATACTGCAATTAGCAAACCTTCTAGTTTACTAATCAAACTTCTTCCTATTTTTTAACTTGTACCCTACAGATTTTGAATTTAGTATCATAAATTTATTGTTTATTTGAAATGATGAAAGACTTCTATAAAAAATAAATAAAAATAAGACTTATCACAATAAAATCATGTTATTCCAATTATATTGTTCCAATGACTTATCATGTTGAAACCAATGTCATGTTAGAAAACATGTGATTGCATATAAGTACCAAAGGCACTTAAAATAAGTAGGAAATAGTATCATGACTGTAAAATAGTACAAGTTATTATTAAAAAATCTTTTTGGAATTGTGATAATGTTATTATTAAAAATCTTTCTGGAATGGTGTGATGATGATTTTAATTTAGTATTTTAGTGGAATTTTATGACAAAAAAGAAGGAAATGATAATTCTGCACTTTAGGGGAATTTTGTGACAAAAAGGAAAGAAATGTTAGTTTATAGGCACGTGCTGGTCAAATGTTGGTAATGCAGTTTTTATATTTCTTCCAGACATAACCAAAGAATAACAATCTATTTCCCATGTTACATCTAAATACTACTCAAACAGTAACAATCCATTTACAAATAATGTCTTACGCAGGAATGTATTACGCCAATAATATATTTCACAGACAATATATTTCCAGTTATCCAAACGGCCTATAAGGGAAGTAGAATAGATGTTTTTCTAAGAATTAAGTGAAATTCTATTAGTGGTCAAGAAGTAATTAATGTCCGACGTGGATGATGTCATTATCTACTATATCTAATAAATGTTCTTTTATCTATCATGAATTTCTACTTTACCTTTAATTAATTACATAAAATGCCCTTAAACAAAAAGTCACCATATTATGTGGTAAGGGTATTAAATATTATTAAGTATATTATTGGAGCCGATAGCAACAACCATTTCATTGGACATGCGTATTTTTTCTTTCCAATAGATTTACATGTTTTATTAATTGAAATTTTTGATGTAGTGAGTAGTAGATTAGGGTTGTTCACCATTTAAGAAATCTTATTTAAGCTGTTCATACCATCCATACATAGTGTCTTGATCTAAATTTCAATTGTTCCATGTTTCGACAGTAGCATATTGTTCCGTAGGACTAAGGTCCAAAATATAGAATAAACGAGCGAATATAGGTCCAATTGATCTGAATTCATAATAATGAAAATAGGGAGGAGATGGAAGAGAAGATACATACGATTCAAGTGCCGATCTTGATAAATAAATAAACAAATAAACACTTCTTAAATTTGATCAAATACAAAAAAATAAATCAATCAATGGGAAGTTGCACGAAAATGGAGCTATGGATTCTAGCACCTTTCGTCTCTTAGAGTCAATGTCGACCCAACAAAATGCTTTCGCCTTTGGTGTTCTTTCCAATGTTTACACATTTTATCGCTCCATCAGAAACTCTTTCTGCCCCTACTATACTCCAGCTTTGTAGTTTCCACCGCCTGTCCAAGGTTGAGCCTTGGGATTTGACGTCAGACTTGAAAAGCCATTTATAGACGCTTTACGCCCGATCATTCCGAACAACACTTGCATCCTTTGTCTTACCGCAGCTACTAGCACAAAGTTAGCTGATGCTTATTCCTTAGATATAATCATTGCTTCTTCTTTGGAAAAAGAAGTTCACAACCCGTGGAACTTCTACCTTCACACAAGATTGATTGTTAGGCTTTCGCCCATTGTGGAAAATTCCTCCCTGCTGCTTCCTGTAGGACCATAGACCGTGCCTTAGCCCTATTAGTTCAATCCCCCATATGTACATGACGAACTTGCAAAGTTTTGGACCAAAAGGAAAGGGAGGACTTTGTAGTGCACTTCTATATTTTAAGGGTATCACAAAGATATCTAATTTTGAAACCATGGTTTTTTTACACTATTTGAAGGTTGATATCTAATTTTGAAACCATGGTTTTTTTACACTATTTGAAGGTTGGCTCTAATTTGTTTGTTTAAGCCTAAGCTCTATACAAACTGCACCCTGTAAAAAGTTAATATAGAGCCCAAGCTCTAAACCAGCGTTTTAAAAAACGCCGAGTCGAACCGGACTCGCCCGGTTCGACTCGGAAATAGTGAAAAAGGAACCGGATCGCCCAAAAATCGGAAATCGTCCGGTTCTAGAGAGATCCGGACGATTCTGTACAGTGAATCGCCGATTCACTGTACGGAATCGGCGAGTCCGAACAGTGAATAGGCGATTCCGTACGGAATTTTTTTTTTTTTTTTTTTTTTAGGTAATCCATGATTAGATTTTTTTTGTAATCCATGATCGAATTTTTTGGTTTTTGTAACCCATAATAGAATTTTTTGTAATCCAT